TGAACGATGGTATGGATTCACCTCATTGCCTCAGGAACATATTGTACTTGGAGGGATCAGTTGAGAGATTTTAAACTGGTAATAGTCACAGTTGGGGCGAGATGCATGCTGGGAGGGGAGGGGAGGGAGCAGTGGGTGGTGGCGAGGCATCCAGACGGAAGTTAGTGCGGCACAGTTGATACTGGCGATGAAAAAGTTGATCTGGATGGATCTTATTTAGCAGTTTTAAGCCAGTTGAGTATTACTTGTGCATAAGGTTGTGGTGGATTTAATGTTAACACAGCAAATGAGTTAGTTTGCTCCATAGTAAACAGTTTAATCTCACAAGTAGACCAGCAGTTTACAATGCCTGTCCTGAGGTGGGTCATGGTGCAGAGACTCGAAACCTATTAGGAAAATGCAAACAAAACTACACATAACGCAATGAAACATTCAAATGACTATTATAATACAGTAAAAACATCCAGTCATCCATGACTGATCCATCAATTAAAAGCAGTTTTATTTATAAATAGGACATACAGTCGTCCTCAAATGTATTCATACCTTCCATTAAAGAAAAAGCAGAATTCACAAAAGTCACTCAAATAACTAGAAACTGAAAACAGTAATAATAAAAGAAAATGTGTTGAATTATAATTTAGTGAAATGAGACATTGCTTTTGAATTATGGTTGAAAAGAATAATTAAAAAAAACAAAACTGTCCCGGACAAATTAGAGCCCTTTGCTGATGAGCAGTGAGATCTACATACCTGTCAACAGGTGCAGAAGTCTGATTGAGAGTTACAGAAAACACTTGATTGCAGTGATCGGCTCAAAGGGTCGTTCAGCTAAATATTAGTTTACAGGTCCCATCATGCTTGTTTTTTTCTCTCTTTTTTTGGTGTTTTTAAAAAAATATATATATATATTTCTGTTGAACCACAATTCAAAAGCAATGCCATGATTTTCCTAATTTTATTTATTTATTATTACTTTTGTCAGTTTCAACTTGTTTCAGTGACAGCTGTTTATTTCCTTCTTTAATGGGGTATGAATAAATCTGAGGACGACTGTATTTGTTGCCTACGTGTGAACATCACACCAGGAGCTTTAACATTTAACCTGTGATGCATCAGATAGTGACTCTAAATTCCACAAACATTTCAAATCTTGATCATCACAGTCTTTCCACATAAAAAGCAAACAGATTTGAGAACAGTTACCACCTGACTCCTTTAAAAGCAGCACATTTTTTAAAAAATGTACAGTAACCTGAGTACATTTAATAAAGCCCTGCAAAATGTCTTTTTATACATTGAATATTTTCCTGTGGTTAACCTTGGGGGTACAGAGGGGGTGGGTGACTTTTTCCCTGCATTTTTGTACCCTCGTAACTTTTTATGTAGAGGACATTGAGCCATTAAATAGTCGAGGCTGAGAAGCACATTTGAGTTCTGCTAAAAACTGCAAACTCATCGATCCATTCCAGATGTCACCATCTAAAGCCAAAACTTCATTTTTGTTCATCATGATTTTTTTCTATAACCAACTTTGAGCATCAATAAAATGGAATATATCATAGTTTCAAAAGCTAAACTGCACCAGTTTAATGTCTAGACGCAGAGTAACAGAAACAAGCATCATTACCCTGTTGGTCTCAGCTGTTGTCTGATAATTCAATGATGATATCTTTAAAATGTACATTTTGGGTAAAATTTTAAAGGTCATAGCACCATAAGGAATAGGTGGTTGTTCAATATAAGTTATGGAATCTAAAATAAATCTCAGTTTTACTTACACTTTGATACCCAGCTCATCTTCCAGCCATGCTTCCTTCTGTGTCAAAATAAACTGCTAATATTGGCATATACACATACTGACATCTGTGAAATGTAAAATATGAGATTGTTTGATGATTCAATGAATTAAAACCATTTCAAATTGCAGCACCATCATTTTCCTACCCCTGTAGAGAAGATACCACACCATCACTGTCCATTTACAGTCTGATGTCATGTCAGCAGCCCTCCTGGGCGGCAGTGGCCTCCCCCAGCAGGACCATACATCTCGCCACACTTCAAAAAATTACTCAGAAACACCTCAAAGAACACAGCTGAAAATCCAAGCTGCTGACCGGGTCCCCAAACGCCCCACATCACAATCCCATCAATCATCCACGGGACACTCTGGAACAAGTCCAATTCACAGAGGCCCCACTCCAAAACCCACAGGACCCAAAGCATCCACTGCCAATGTCCTGGTGCCAGACACCACAGAACACCGCCTGAGACACTCTGGACTGACTGAGAATCTACTCAAACATTAAAATACTCTATTGCATGTAAAAGTCCTCCATGAGATAGATAGATAGATAGATAGATAGATAGATAGATAGATAGATAGATAGATAGATAGATAGATAGATAGATAGATAGATAGATAGATAAAACTTTATTGATCCTTTTGGTAGAACCTCAGGGAAATTGTTGAAACCCTACCTAATTAAAAGCACAACTATTAGCAGCAACTTGTAAAGTAATAAAGTAGAAGTGTTTGCTGGTTTAGTCCATCTGACTGATGACTCATATATGAATGTAATGAAGTAGACGGTGCAATATTTCACTCTGAAATGTGTTGGAGTAGAAGTATAAAGCACCACAAAATGAAAATATTTAAGTAACAGTACAGTCTTGAATAAATGTACCTCGATACCACTGAGGCAATGTTTACATACAAGTTGTTCTCTATTGTCATCACTAGATGGCACCTTGGTTTCATGGTTTGTTGTTAGTTCAGTGTAAAGTTGCATTGATGGGATATTGTTAGTTCTTAAAATATTTATGAGTATGTTGAAGTTGGCTGCAAGGTGGCGCAAGATGGTTAACACTGTTGCCTCGCAGCAAGAAGGTCGCCGGTTCACATCCCGGTGGGGGAACCGGGGATCTTTCTGTGTGGAGTCTCCATGTTCTCCCCGTGTAGCGTGGGTTCTCTCCGGGTTCTCTGGCTTCCTCCCAAAAACATGTTGAGGTTAATTGGTGATTCTAAATTGTCCGTAGGTGTGAATGTGAGTGTGCTTGGTTGTCTGTCTCTAAGTGTAGCCCTGTGATAGACTGGTGACCTGTCCAGGGTGTCTCCTGCCTTCACCCTGAGTCAGCTGGGATAGACTCCAGCCCCCCATGACCCCAGTGAGGATTAAGGTGTATAGATAGTGGATGGGTGGGTACTTATATATTGCTAATAAGAACAATGACAGAATAATTCTATGACAAATGTAAGTAAACAAACTGCAGGCGCTGCAGAAAGAGGTTCATTTAATGACATGTACTTCTGTTATTTAAATGTATTTACATAACTTTTTATCTTATTTTCTACCATAACTAACAGTGCCACAAAAAACTAAAAGCTCTCGTCAAATGAGGCCGTCTAACGAGCTCAGAGGGGAATTCAGAGGAAGCTGCTATAGATCTGTGACCTCAGGGCCCAAACGCCTCCTGTCACATGGAGCTGGTTGAAACCACCACTATAACCTTTAACAGTGTGCTGTATACAAACAGAAGCCTCTCGTAAGTATTGTCTTCTTCGAAGACCGTCAAGAGAATCTGGAGAGTGTAGTTATGACTGTAAACCTGTGATAGTAACAACATTCATGGAGTCATCACAGCTGGCATTAGAAGCACTAGAGGGCAGCACAGCACATCAGCTGACCTCTGAGACTCACTGAGAAGGTTCAACTCAAGTTTCTGTTCATTACAGTCCAGTGCACACACACTGGCTTCTTCAGTCAGTGCTACTGATGAGACCTCAGTCTGGAGGCAGCCATGTGATGGACTTTTTTGATGTTTTTTAAAAGACATACTTGCTTCAAAAGCTCCCTTAATCATTTCATGTGGTGGGCACCATCTTGAAAGGTTGGATGATGTTATTTGAGGAAAACAGCAGCAGTGAAACAAGCATTCAGATCCTTTTTAAAGTGAAAGTATAAATACAGTAATGCAAAGGAACCCTATGACAAGTCAAAGTTCTGCTTGAAAAATCATTTGCGAGTAAAAGTACCAAGTAAAGTAGTTTAAATATTGAAGTAAAAGTCCTGGTTCGGTCCCTTTGACTGATGTACCACTAGATCTGAAGCATCAGCGTGTCAGCAGCATGCCACTAGTTTATGTCCAGGCCTGAGGGCTCATCACATGATAAATGAGAGGAAAGAAGATGGAAACAAAGTTCTGATTCAGTTTTTTCTGTAATGTTTTGCTGAAATATTGCATCCTTTGAACCCTGAAATGAATAAGTTTAGAGGAAAAAGCCTGTTAACAACTCACGCATCAGAAATGTGACTCACACTGGTTCTTGTAAAAGTCCTCAAAAGGTTTAATATCACAGGTTTACTCTTAAACTATGAGTCGTTATTTAAAAGCTTGTTCTGTTATTCGTTGTTTAAAATCTTCATCTTGGAAGTAAAGCTGTCTAATAAATGTAGTGGAGTAGAAAGTACAATATTTCTCTTTGAACTGTGAGGAGTGTGCAAGCATGAAGTAGCAGAAAATAGAAAGTTATGCTTAAGTATAATACTTGAGTAAATGTACTTAGTTACTTTCCACCACTAGAGGACACTAAACTGTATAGTTCCCTGTTTTTTATTTTTTAATGAAGCCCTGCGAGGAAACATGTATCTCTTCTCCAGTTTATCAGCCTGCAACAGGAGCAGCAGCTTCATTTTAATATTTTAATAAACTTGTAGGAACATTTGTTTTTGAGCTTTCCTCCGCTGATGTTCATTATCCTTTAAAAAAGAAATTTGAAACCAAAATCTAGTCAACTTTTTATGCAAGACAGTAATCAGTAGTTAGACTTATTAGTAGTTCACCTGCAGTTGTCGTTGATGATGAGAACAAGTTTTCCTCCGTCTTCTCTGCATGTGGCCAAGGACTTAGTTTGGTATTCAGACGTAAGAGTTTTAAGGCTTAAGAGCAACAACATGCAGCCGTAACATGCTCCATTAAATACAGCAGAGCCGGGATGATTCTTTTTTTAAAACACTTGTCCATTTATTAATCAAAATGACAAAAAAGGTAGCTGGAACAGGAGACACAATCGACAGAATCAACATTCAAATTGTGACCAACACAGAGGTTTCTGTAAAGTGCCAAACAAGAAAAAAGCCTCACTGATAATATACGATATCATCTCACGCACACACACACGTACACAAACACCACCACATAGAAAACTAGATTTTTAATACGCACAAAAACTTAGAAACCATATAAAATGAGTCTATACCAAGTAGATTCTGCTCTAAAATGATGTGGGCCGCTGCAGGGCCTCGAGTGTTGTGTTAGAAGAAGAGGCGTTTGATCAGTAGTTCATCTGAGATTCTGGCTTTTCTCTAAAGTCATGAGTGCTCGTACACACTGTGCAATTTTTAACCGTAAAAACCATTTAACCCGCCACCCCCACCCCTCCATCAGCTAATACATTCTAATGCCGCTCAGAAATAAGCTTTCTGATGAAGGCACACGACAGGGAGGCGTGTTCGCAGTGACACCGCCTCCCACCTAGATATCGTTTATACAAAAAAAAAACAACAAATCAGACGGATCTGACTGTCCTCCAGTGGAAAGTTTGTTCTCACTGGGGGGAAAAAAAGTAAATCAGAAACCACGTTCCACTTCACACCTTTGGTAACCTGCTGGAGAAAACAGGATAGAAGCTGCTTTTCCTTGGTTTCCTCCGTGAATAAAAACAGACCTGCATCCTGTAACCTCAGTGTATTTACTAAGTCATGACTGTGTCCTAGTGTGGAGTTAAAAAAATAAAGCTGAGGTTAGTATTTGAACATGATTTTTTTTTTTTCGACAAAACTTCTATTCTTTGTTGTTTAAAACTCAGTTAGCACAAATCATTTGTAACGGCTGTACATGTAACACAGGAGAAAATGTAAACATTGTGCAAGTCGTAGTGTTAATGGGGTACATGGATATGACGCCTCCACAGAGGCCACTGGATCACCACAAAGACGAAACAAACATCTTTGACCCTTTTGGATTAAAACATAGAAAATAAAAGACTATTAAATAACATACAAAAATCAACAAAAATATAATTGTAGACAAAAAAAAAGAAAAAAAAAAAAGAAAACATGGTCAAAAATGACGAGCTTGTTCATGAGGATCAGTCTGAGCTCCAACAAGTGCTGGTTTGTGGTAGAAGCTGAGTCACCAGCCGGCTGGTTTTGGTGAAGCCTTCTGGGCGTGCTCCGTTACGTCCTCTGCCTCCGCCTGCTGTTCATTTCAAAGTAAGGGTCCTCACTCTTGCCCTTGGGCTGCGGGATCTTCTTGGTGACGCTGGGCTCGGTTTTAACGGCTCTGACGTTGGGGCTGGTTTTCAGTGGGGCCAGACCTGGAGCTACTTCAGGCTTTAGAGTCGACTTTACGGGGTTAGCTGTGGTGGCTTGTTTTCGCCCCACCCTCTGTGCTGTGGCCGGTGTTTTCTGATTGGCTTTGCTGGCGGCAGACGGGCCTATGTTTGCCCCTGGGACCCGCCCGGGGACAAGAGCAGTACCTCGTGAAGGGACAGCGGCTACCTTGCTTGGGGCCGGCCCCTTCGTTTTGGCTGTGGCCTCTTTGCCCTTTGGCAGGGAGCAGGCAGGTTTTGCGAGTGCTGGGGAGGCGGTCCTTGAGCTGGGGGTGGTGGTCCGGGTCTGCGGAGCAGTTGTCGCTGCTGCTCTGGGCGTTGGCGTCGCTGCAGCTCTTGTGGCCGTCCTCACTCGCCTGGCTGCCTCTAGACGGAGGCGCGAGGCTGGGGAGCCAGGGCGGCGCTGTGCGAGGCGAGAGCGCTGGCTGGCGCCCGTTGGGGGTCGAGCATCTTTAGGGGTTGGCGCCCGCGTTGGTGCGGTGACGGGGCGAGGCACGGAGGAGGAGGTAGGGGAGGTGCAGGGGCTGGAGGGTTTGGGGCATTTGGATGAGGGCTCGGGGCAGACGGGGCTCCTCGGCTGGGAGGCGACGCCATGTGGTGACGGTCGGAGCTTGAGTTTGGAGGCGGGGTTTGGATCTACAGGGGCGGCTGATGGAGCTGCTGCTGGCGTCACAGCTCGACGTGGGACACCCTGACACCCGGGGCTGGGAGTCTGTCTGGAGCCTCCCACTGGTGTGGTGGGCAGAGACGAGGAGCCTTTGGTGGTGATGGGCAGGGGGAGCTGGGTGGGCTTCCTGGGGGAGGAGGAAGGCGTCATCTGAAAGTTCTTCTTCGGCCCAGAGATGGAACCTTTCCTGGGCAGCGTGGGCGTGCAGGCCGGGGAGGCGTTGTAGGACCGACACGTCTGAGCCACGGTGGTCACGGACATTTGCTTACAGGCTGAAGAAGAGGAAGTTGACGAGGTGGAGGAGGAGGAAGAGGATGAGGAGGAGGAGATGAGATTGTTGACGGCGGCGAGGGGGTCCATGTCAGGAGGAGGAGGCGGAGCTGCATTGCTGTGGTGACCACCCAGACCTGGGGGGCCTTTCTGAAAGGCCAGAATCTTCTGCTCCAGAGTGGTGAACTGCAGCACTCGCAGCGGGTCGTATTTCATCAGGAAACCACGCAGAGTGTCCCAGCCGCCGCCAACTCGCACCATCACATGTTTACCGTGGAGCATCTGTGAAGAGCGAACGATGATTTTAAATTCAAATACACTAAGTTTCAACGGAATTACACTTTAAAAAACGGCCTAAAAATGCTGGTGAAGGCATTAAAGGTAGTTTTGAGAAACGTAAAACATCTTTAGAGACATTCACAAAAACACAACACATGTATAATGTGGTTTTAATGTCTTACAGAACAAGGTAATACTTCCGCCCTCCTCCATCACTCATCTTCACTTTGCCAATTTATACATCAACAGTGACAGATCCCATTAAATTCTAAAAATAGCTGCAGAGATACAGATGAGGCCGTCTGTCCTAAATCTTGGCACCGTAATTATGATGTAATTATGATGTAATCCACACACGCAATCCACCACTCCCACATAATGAGCTTACATGTGTCCAATCGCAGCCACCAGTGATGCAGTTAGGACTAATGCAACTGCCAGGACACACACTCAGCCTGTGTGCCAGTGTGTGTCCTACGATGCATCTTTATTAGCACATAAACGCGGTGTTTACAGTTGTGTATACTGTAATGAGCAGCTTCTAGTTTCTACAGGGTCAAGACAGTAAAAGTAAAAGACAGTGAGCGCTGCTGCTTTTTGTACTTCGCCAACCCTGCCTGCCTCTCTGCAGAGTGTGACTGTACTCACCCGAATAAAGATGGTCTTATCTCCCAGTCTGTAGCGTCCCTCAGACAGGTACTCAATAGAAACTCTGTTGGAGCAGTTGCAGGGCGGGTCGTCCATGCCGTGCTCCTGCACACAGGATGAAATAACAGAGGACAGTTAGAACAGAGTCCAGTATTCTGCCTGACATTTACAGAAGATATTTCAGTGTCACCTCAAATGGAAAACAAAGCAATTAAATTAAAAGATCCCATGGAGTTGCTAGCTGAGTGCTGCTTCATTCCTCATAGTTACATGTTTCCTATAAAGCCAGAGGCTATGGAGACCATCTCCTCCATAAAGTCCATTCTGCTCCCACTGGTCAGCTCCACAGATCTGAGCAGGAACATTCTGCATCAGCTCTGGCAGCGTTTTTGTAGCCAGTGATGCCAACTATGAGCTCTACATTGAAAACAGTCACGATTTCTTCAAATATGTGAACGCCAGCCATTTTCTTCCAAACCAAGGCTTAAAAAATGATAGTTTGGATGATTTAAAGTGGGGTTCTATGAGGTACACATCCATCATCAGTGTATACCCTATAGCAGATTGTGGTTGGTAAGTTGCTACATCATATTCAAAGCAGCCAAACTCCTGTTAATGTTTGACTTGTGTTTTATTTCTATTATAATTATAATGTAGTATACTTCCCATTGGAGAACAAGTCAGCACTTTTTAAAAACATCTTCAAAACTACTTTGTGGTCATGGCTGGACCAGATATTGCCATGTAGGCGACATGTACTGCAAGTCACATCATGAAAACACTTTAACACAGAATTTGTTTGCATGGGAACTTGAAGGACCTCCAATTCTTGCTCCTGGATACGTGAGCAATAATGCAATTACACCCGGTGGATTCAGTGGGTGTAACTGAAGTCAGACATGGCTCGTTCCAGTTTCCCTCCCAAGATGAGACACAATGACGAGGTGATGAATTAACTGACACTTGCAATATTTACTATCAACAGCATTAAATGTATAAGAGCAGACATGTTTGGGAATACATACGCTAGATTGTGGATGCTTTTATCCGATATGACTTCCACTTCAATGAGTGCAGCTATTTTTAGCTCAGCTGTCTATTTTGAATGCAACGATCAGCCCTGACAGTGTCAGTGGTGGTTAACCAGTGAACCAGATGGAGGAACAAACCCGCCTACAAGAACCTCCATCAGTGATGATTTACAAACTCGTTGAACTACAGTCAGTTGATGATATGGACCATTTAAACTGAAAACCCATCGCTTTGTGCACAACGGCATGCATCTGCACGCTGGAGGTCACGTGTGACAGCGAGTCACAGGGCGCCGGCAGAGCGTCACATGGTCAGCTGTGATGTGTCATGCACCCTGTGGGGCGCCAGTGAAGCGGCAAGAGCCGCCGCCTGACGCCATCTTGGCTCCGCTTCAACTGGGTCGCACATGTACTACCTATGTGCTGCTAACGTGATCAGCTATACCCGGTCTGCACTTTCCATCTTTGATGTGAGATCACATGCAAACCCACTGTATAGATGAAGAAGTTCTCATTTTGCTCATGTGTTTGGCTTTATGGATGCAGCGAGCGCCATCAGCTAATTTAAGGTTAGACGACACGTGTTTTCGTGGCAAGTTCAAGGAGAGGAAGGCCATTCTCGTGCAACGCTTTTTGCCTCCAGGTGTAAAGTGTCATATTATGTCAGTTTAACCTGTGTGGTGTTAGTTTCCTGTTCATATGTTCAACCTGTCAGTTTAAACTCACCCCGGGCTGGTAGAGGCCGCCATGCTGGCAGCACACGCTGAAGGTTTTGACAGCTGGAGGTGGCTCCTCTGTCAGCAGCAGAGTCTCCTCCAACTCGATCTCCTTCTCCAGCTTCACCAGCACAGGAGGCTCCACTCCGTACCTGTTTCAATAGCAATGAAATGTTATTCCAATCTTAAACTGGCTCTGAATGATGAACAGCGTGAAGTGCCCTCTGTGTTCACAGACTTACTTGGAGACGATGCGGCCGATCTCCAGCAGACAGAGACAAACCTGGCGAGGCTCCTTGTGCAGCACTGAGGCAGAAGACACGTCAATTAACAGGCTGACTGTTGGTTAAAATTATCCAAAGAAGCAGCTGCTGCCACCTCTGCTCTCTTTAGACAGAGCACAGCAGACAGAGCAGGAGGGACGACGTGTGACCAAATTCACGTGTTAAACTTAAAAACGTGACATTATGAGCACGTTAGATAAAGTTAATTATTCCCTGAGGGGATGTTGGTGATTCATGCAGAAGAGGACAGAGGTTTGGGACGGAGAGCACAACTTTAGAAACACTCAAGGGGATAAACAAAAAAACATATATTTAAGCACAGAATCTATGTGTTCGTGCTTTGCTAGCTTTGCTGAAACAGCAGTTGAATGGATTTCTTTACAAATCGGCTCAATCCTGTATTTTGGAGAGCAATTACTTGCAGTGAAGTGATTCCCCATAGAGAGTACTCAGGGTGATTGGTCTCTTCAACAGATCCTATTAAATCATTAAGAAGTAAGGCTTAAACAACAGAGTCGGCTCCGCAGATCTTATTTTATTAGAAGCTTACACATGAGATCTACTGTTTTATACCATTAACATCCTCAATATGAAGCCCAACATTAATGGGCTACAGAGTTGGATTAGGTGGCAGTGGTATGTACAAATCTGGTCTACATCTGAGTAAAAATGTTTAAAACCCAGCTAAAAGAAGGCAGGGTCCTGTGCAGCATTAAACTGTCTTGGACTCTAGTGCTCGCTAAAGAAATAAAATCTTTCAAGGGAAAAAAGGGAGTTTTTTTTCCCCTGATGGGTACACAGCATCCAAGGACAGGCAGGGAAACTCATCATACCATTTGTAAAGCTTTTAAATCCAAAAGCATGACTTGGCTGACAGTAAAGCAGGTGTAAGGACGTTATTTGGACACATAGTTGTACTTCAATCTGGAATAAACGATTTACCAGTTGAAAGAACTTCATTCTTGCCTCCTTGTATAAAACAGACGCTGAATGCAGAGTCCTTCAGTTTGGTAGCAGCTTCTGCCTTCAGTACTGAGAACGGCTACCTGCTTATTTCAGAGGGATTGTGATAAATTATCTAAAGCTTTGGCACAGCACCAACAGCCATTTAATGGGTCACTTTGAATTCTGATAGTAACTCAGTCCTGATTCGGAAATGTGTTACGAGGAAAGCGCTGCCAGGTCACTTCAACCAAAAGCAAACAATGTTATTGTTTCCAAAACTCTAAGGTCGTGTCTACTCAGTTTTTTTTCAGACAACTGATTCAAACTTCAAGTTGCTGTACATGAACTGAGTAAAAGAAGCTCAGTTGCATCTAGATGGATAAACAGTTAAGGTATGAAAGGATGCATCTGCTCTACAGCTTTAGTGATGTGTATTGCAGCTGTTTACCGAGGCCCTCTGACTCAAACAGGTACGTCTCCTCCACGCCGATGTGTCGACACCAGGCCAGGAAGTTGGCGGTGTTGTCGCGAGCAAAGAAGGAACCCGGAGAGGCGTCCCGCTTGCATGCAACCTTCCTTGTGGGAAAGAGCTGTCAAGAAAAAACAGATAATAAAATCAGTTATCATCCTGCTAAATCTGTGTGTGGACAAATGAGAGGAACTTAGCACTGAGGTAAAATAGGTGAAAATGTTACAGAACATTTATTCAGGTTGAGCGTATAGACAGGGTTCCCTGCAATGCAATCGATAGTGAGATCTATGCACGAGTGGGGAAAGAGCTTATGTGTCTTAAATGTCGCCCACATGGACTGAGTGTGCAGCATGAACCAGGATAATTAGCAAACTATTGAACCTTAACACCCAGACATCCAGGAGGCCATGGCAGTAGCATAAACACAGCCTGGTTAAGTACAAAGAAAAGTCTGTAGCATTTCATTGACAAAATTAACCAAATATATAAAGCAAAAGTCAGAGATGTGTCAATCCTGTGACCTGCAGATTTCTCTTGCACACGTGAGCATGAAACGCTGCCCTTCGTATGATCGTCCGAGTCTATTTTCATCGCTGCCGTCTGACTCACCTTGCCGAGCGCAGAGGGGCAGCTCTGGGCGATTTTGGTCTGCAGCACACCGATAAGCTGGCAGAGCTTCACGCCGTTATTCAGCTCCTCCATGAAAAACTCGGCTCTCACCTCGTCTCCTGCAAAAATAAATGAAACCATAATGAATACAGTGTACAGGCAGGAGCCACGTTCAAGAAAGTTTGTCTTGCTTAATTTTGATATGTTCAAGGTTAAAACTACTGAAGAAAGTTGTTTTTTTCCGTCTGAGGCTTCTTTTTTTGCAAGACAGCACACTGACAAACATCAGCTCTTCAACAGGAGGCTCTTCAAGGACTTACAGCGCTCCCACGACCTCTTATGATAAATCACTGCCTTAGGGAGCGCCACAAAGGCCACAGAGGGAACAAAATCCACAATAACATCACACTAAGTGACAAAGATTGTTCCACAAAAGTTTACTTCCCACCCAACAACAATCGACCCCCGAGGCTTGAAACCCTATCCACTGCACGCCACCTGTTTCTGCAGCATCCGGCCCCTCGCGATTGATGATCGGAGTGCTTTAACAGTTTAAAAAGTCTAAAAACATGAGATACAGGTCATCGCGGTCACTGTGCCAATAACTCATGTTGAGTGTTTCGTACCTGCCCACATTCCTCATGAGAAAAACTAAATGTCTGCTTCTTAAAGAAACGGATTCAGCAGTCAACAATAGAGTCAGTTTCCAGTCAGCTTCAATGTCCTCACTGCTCCATTGTATGCTACGGGACAATAGATGTCAGTATAATGGTAGAGACTGATGAAATGAGGGATTTTGTTCCACTACCGTTTCTGTGGTTTACTAAGCGCTGGTTGGAAATAGCAGCATCCAAATCCAATTACATGGCGAGGCCCGTGTCAATTGTGATCCAGTATTTTCCTCGCCTGGAGGGGCAAACTGTTGGCATGCAACGCTCAAGTGTTGATGCACATATTAACAGGTTTGGACACATGGACACTGTTGTGTAACACACTTGGACAAGGGTAGTTAAAATTTTCAGATTTAATTTAAAGTGTCGAAGCAATATTGGTCACCCAAAGTAAGACAAAACTATCTCAGCTGGCACGCACTGCTTCTTACCCAGCATGCCGGTGAGCCAGATGGCCAGGTCCTCCTGCATGGGCACCAGGGTGGCTTCATGTCGCACCGCCAGCCACTGGTCGTACTGGAAGACGTCGGCAAGGCCGGGGCCGTGCCGCTGTGCTAACGGGCTGCGAGGGCTCCTGGGGCTCAGCAAGGGGGCGTCGAACTTCTCACCGAACCACACCTGGACGCAAGAAGAGAGTAAATTAGAGTGAGATTAAATGTCAAATTTACATTCATATACAAAGAAAGCTATCCTTACATCTCATGAGCAGTTAGAGTCAAGATCGGGGTTTTTTTGGGCAGAAAGAAAGGTAGAAATACGAGGAACTAAGAGGATAGTAACATTTATACGATTTACATCATTTCAAAGGATTAGAAACATAAACGGAAATCCCAGCAGGATGTTAGAGCAGATTAGAGCGACTGTCCACTTATTGAGACGTCTGCTAATCTGATGCGAGCGCTGCCGTCTCTAGTGATGGTTTTAAACATCTGACTATAAAAAACCAGGCTGTCATTTTGGGAAACACAAATATTAGCCTCGAGTTAGACAAAAGACGGATATTAAATGTGGTTTAAATCACAAATCTGTTTTGGATTGCATCACAGTCAGGCATCAGCAAAACAATAATAAAGTGGACTGTTGTTCACATGCTCAGTTCATGTGAACGCACATCTGCTTTCTATCTCGTCCCTGCAACTCCGCCTCGAGATTGAAGGGATTATTCCTCACTGAGACATGTTCTCAGTGGTTTGTTTATCTGCAAACAGGATTACAAAAATCTATCGATCCGAATATCATCAATCTTTATTGAAAGGTGGCCAATTAAACTCTGGTGCAGATCTAGATCACTTTGTTTAAAACTGGCCTCGATGCTCTCGGAGTGCTCTTCTAGTTACTTTAAAAAGCAAGAGTGGCAGTAAAAGTGTTATTATTATCACCTATGTTCTTTTTGTCTTCTCTGTTACCATTTTAAACTGTGCAGCACTTTGGTTCGACTATTGTTTTTAAATGTGCTTTGTAAAAACATGTGACTTTGACCAGCAAAACATTGGAGATTAAAGTAATTATTTGGCATTACAGTTTGCCTAGGGATGTAAGAAACATATCTGGTTCCTGATAAAACACTCAAATCATATCCAGAACTCAGTACACAGTTCCACCCAAGACATACTTGTGTAGGTGTTGGCAAATAAGATGTAGATTGGAGAGTAGAGTTAAGCAGCTGTCTGGTGGAGATAACGTCGTACAGCGATACTTTATATTACAAAAAAAAGTAATCGTTCACCTTCCACCTTTTATAAGATCGCTGCTCATGCAACATATAGCAGCTATGAGGTTCTCAGCTTACACGGCTGAAGGATTTGAATTTAAATTCTGATGAGATCATTTCCACTGCCAACTGGTTTAAAAAGTGAAGTTCAAGGAAAGTTCATACACCATTAGATACTTAACTGCTTTTATTTGACCCCCGTTCGCTTTCATTAAATGGTTTTATTACAAGATAATTGGTGCTGGAACTGTAAAAGGCGTGGAAGCACCTTTATCCATTCAGCCTGCTCTCTAGTTCTGAGATAATACACCAACAGAGGAGTGGCTGGGTATACCGGTGCCTGAATCAGTTCAACTTTGCCTCTTTGGGAACAGATCACGTTTACTTAAGATTTCCAAATCAGCATTAGGTCAAACAAGTTTTTATCTCAGCTGCTGTGGTTATCCTTCATTACTGGAAAAGCAGAACTAGACCTGAACACAGCGAGCCGAGGACGCCAATGACAGGCAACATGTCTCATGAGTTAAAGAGCTTGTATAACTGTAAAGAATCCAATTTGCATGTCTGGAATCTGTTTTTCTGTTTCATAAGGCAGAAAATATGTTATAGGAGTTAAACAGTGCACACGGAGAACGCCTTCTATGTGTCATATCCAGTGAGGTATGTTAATGATCATATCAGACAGATTTCTTTTTCAGTGAATAAAGTGAAAGGAGGAGGCTTTTGTTTTAGATTTGGCTGTGCCACAGGGACTTTGTTTTTGTTTCCAACTTTATGGCTAAAATGGGTCATGTTGAGGACTGGTACTGTGCTAACAGACTAGTGAATGCTGCAGAGATGATGCTGTCATTTTGTTTGCGCCGTGCCATTTTAGTTCTTGTGATTTATGTCTAATTTATATGTGTGCGTTTGTCCTTAAATTCATTTTCAGTTAATGTGCCTGCTGACCTGTAGGTGGGGATCCATGCAGATACGACTCTTATGTCTGTTTGTCTTGTTAGTTTTAAGCACAAAGACAAGAAACGAGGCTCGACAAGAAGTCTTGCGAAGACTGAGCCATCAACCCCTGTAAACCTGCAACTTGTTGTACAACTTCTTTAAAAAGATAATTGTAGATGTTTTTTTTCAATATTTTGGAGCCAGTTGAGCAGTTCCCCACGTTTTCAGTCTATTTATTAAAGTAAACGAACCGGCTGCTTGCTATGGAAACAAACTTAATGAAACATCACTTTCAGCAAGACAGAAAAAAGCTGATTTTACTAAATATATATTTGTTTTAAACCTTCATCTGAGACCTGCCTCGTCTTAGAAAGTCAAATATGCAGTTTTAATTAATACAGCACTGACAGATTCATGCACTGTGCCATAGAACATAAAATTAGATGTTTTCAATACTTAACTGCTGTCAAAAGTGTCTCTTTCCTACTTCAGGGCTCAGGTTTTTGTTATGCAGACAAGCAAAGAAAACACTATCTGTTCAGCGAGGCACCGTGTGATAAGCCCGAGCATGTCTCAGTCAGCACAAAGTCAGTGAAAACACAGCACCACATGACTGGGCAAATCTACACGTCGTCTTCTGGAAGACACGGATTAATAAATATAGGTTAGGAGTTATTCCACCGCTCGCTCTCTGCAAGGACACACCGCAGCATTATCATACCCTAGTTAGCATTTAGCCTTGCGCTTAGCAAATATGAGAGGAATTTGTGTGAGCCATCCATGCAGAGAGGACGCGTCGGGGATGCCGTCACACCGCACTTCGTTTCTCTGCTCTACTGGAGATCACAGCGAACACGGCGCTCTGCGACGGAGCCACTTGGCTTTGGGAACCACTGAGGTTTACTCTGTTTTAAAGTCATGCAGAATCATTTCTACCCCCAACACCCAACCGTCGGATTACATTTCTTTTCCTCCATGAATTTTATTGCTAACTAAAAAGGCACTGTTACATTTATTTTCCCTAAAATCCAAGGAAAAAAACAACAGAGTACTGTTGCACTTGACTGCTTAAATGGGTGTCTAGCTGTAGTTCAAAGTCTTGGGCTCAGTGCCTGAAGCGAGCTGCTGATCCCTGCTGTTGACGCCAACGTCCCATCATATCCATCTCTACTGTCACACACTCTTTCCAATCATTCTTCAGCTCTGTAGTGTGTTTTCCACTGATGAGTCACTTAATCTTTGATATAAAAAAAAGAGGAAATGGAAAAGAATCAGTGTTTTTGTTTTCACCGCCACCATAAAAGTTAATCAAACTGTGATGAGTGAGAGTTATTTACTAAACTGTACATGGCATTATCCTGAATTTAACTCTTGGCTGTTTGAGCGTTTCCACTTAAGAGGCACAAAAATGACAAAACAAAAGCTTCCACTTCCCGAACATGATTCATATTTACAAAAAGGCTGCGTGTGTTGTTTTCTCTCCAAGTGTTTAGTTGTTTACACGCAACAGGAGGGGAAATGGAGAAACCAGCAGCAGATGTGCAGCATGACGACTTGTCCAGACATTACATAAGTCACTTCTGGATGAACCCCTCCCTCCCCTCGCCTTTCTCTTCCCGTCCAGTTTGTTGACATCTGCTTAAGATACAGCCTTTAATCTTTGTGTCCATCACATGTCATTGAGCAGTAATGGGGACGTTGTGCTGAAAGGGTTATTGTGCTTACGACAGGGCCGAGTCTTGTTGAGGACTTGAATTTATCGTGTTAGCTCGTCCTCCATGCAGGAAGCCTTCTGGGCAGTGAAACAGAGAGGCCAGTATGCAGAGATCTTCTTCTGCTGATGCTCTGAAGATACAGCTCAGGATTGTCTGTGTGATGCAGCTTTAATGTTGCACTGAATTGCGATTATTTTTGCGACAATGTCCAACTGCATGGAAGAAATCTCTTCATTTAACTGAATCTATGCTACGAAAATGAGTTGAGGACAAATCAGAGGAGTGATAATGAATCTAGAGTCATTAGGACTGTGTGAAGCGGTCTTAAACCCTAACCTTTAATGTAAATCTGTCAGTTCAATGGGAGAAGCCAAACAGAACATGTTAATATTTCAAGCGGATTAATAGCAAACCATGAAAACTTAGTAGACTCTGCTCTATTCACAGGCCACATTTTAACTTCAAGGTCCTGCTCCAGTGATTTAGAGCTGCACTTCCATTAAACTGAGGGATTCTCCAGAGACAGACTCATCAGAGCAGCAGAGGCCCAGACATCCTGACGTTAAACCCCCAGAATGGGTCAAAAAGCTTCAACAACACCAGATCCTACATTTCCCACAATGCAGCTCAACATTATTTTTTTTTTTAAGTTATTTTTTGGCCTTTGTGCCTTTATTGATAGTGCAGTGAGAGAGAGACAGGAAAGTAGGGGAGAAGAATGGGGAGAGGACATGTGGGAAAGAGCCATGAGCGGGATTTGAACTCATGACCTCCACATCGGGACTGTAGCCCTAAACATGAGACGCCAGCTCAACCAGGTGAGCCACAGTGGCGCCCCAAGCTCAACATTATCTTTAAATCAGAGTCGCTATGCTTCTTAAATTCCTACTTTTTCCAAACCTCCGACTTTTAAAAAAACACAGACTTCCAGTAAATATTTTCAAACCTCGAGTTTTGGCTTTAAATGTTGGAGTGTTCCCTCCAGAACCACAAGACTCCCCATAAAAGGTAAACTTGACCTCATGTGTGAAATCAGTGGAATGCCCCTTTAGGATTCAACTCCATGCAATTTTGATTTATTTCACTTGCTTAAATTTAATTGTCAGGTGAAACATTCACCTTCCAAAGGATTAGCGACATGAAAGAAATGTTTAGAATAGCCGTCAACATGGACGTCAGCGTCTGAGGAAAGTGTTTTTAGCACCATGCTCGTCCTCATCAGGGATTATGGGAGACGGCTGGTGAACACTCGTAAAAAAAAAAAAAAAAATGGGAGAAGGAGGCAGAAACACCTGATGGTCCAAACGGAAACGGCTGTCACACATCGATAGACACACACACATTGCGTAACAGAGATCAGAAGGGCGGGCTGCCTGTGGCGCTCTGCAGGGCCACAACAACATCGTATGTTGGTTTCTCCACATCCGGCTAATTGGAGAATAGGGCAGCGTAGTGTAACGTTTACAAGTTACGTAACGATGCCGATTAGAAGAGGCGCCTGAACAGTGGGGATAATCCAACCTCGTCCTCTGACCACTTACAGACTTACGGTGAGCGTTCAGGTTGTACGAATATCGTGAAGTTAAATCTGCATCGGACCCAGTATTGGGGCATTCTCAGTTAATCTTTTCTTCCTTTCACCACCTTTGACCTCATTAGGTGCAGGAATGTGGGTTGGTAATCCAGCACAGAAATGCAAAATACTGGAGATTTTAAGCCTGTAAGTTAGCAATTACTCCTTAGCGGTTTCTGATGCTCTTAACTTGAGCCACTTACGCTGCGGGTTAATCAGCTCCCTGAAACAATAGTCAATAGCAGGAAGGTCAAAGGGAAAAGCTACACGTACTAAAATATTCTAAAAACACCAGGATTTCTCGTAATATAATAATTCCTGTGACTACGATCGTTACTTGGTATTTTGAGCTTCTTTCATATTATATAAGCTTTTCTCATGACGGCATCAAATGGTCACATTATTACAAACCCTTTTATGTTTTTTTATGTTTCTGCCTCATGTTTATGACGCCTGTAGGCAACAAACCTAAATAAAGAACCATCACTATCTGGTAAAAGTTATATTTTGATCAAGTAAAATCACTTGTTTCCCGCTTTTTTTTTTCTAAAGCTTCCCATGGCTTGGTTTTTGACCTTTAACCCTTCAGGATCAGAACTATCCCGGAGCTGTTTGGTTAGGCCGGGCTGAACTAACAAGGTCACACTGTTCTTTTCAAATACGAAGCACTACTTGGGCTTTCTGTTTGGTCAGTTTCATCGCAGATATTTGTAACGCTGGGAACAAAAAAGCCGCCGTAGCCTTTGTTTTAATGCAGGATTTCAGGAAAGCTAAAAAAAAAAGTGGGAAGACACGTGAGAGCGCTGCAGCTCTAGAAGAGACTTGACATTTGTCAGTCTAAATCTGGGTGATTATTGTCTTTCTTTGAATTTTGCTCTTTATGTCTGTTTTTCGTGGCCATCCCTGCTGATGCTAACTGCACAGCTCCTCTGTTGAGTATAAACACTAACAAACCCAGCACACACTGTTTGTAGTCACTGTTTGGAACAACAAATATAAAGGCTGTACCACCAACAGATCAAAGCATACATGCATTACAAACTGATAGTCAAATTAAAGCTGCACATCTCCGCGCTTTTAGTTGACAAATGAGTTGATAATTTGGTTCACTGTCACCGCTCTCATCAGCATCATTTTGAAATACGACAAGCAGCTGTTTTCAGTTTTACAATATGACAAACACGCTGTTAACTAGCGACACAGCACCAATAATGTGAAGACAGAGTGAAGATGTTGGACCATTTAGCAGCTTAAGTTTTTTCTCAAGAGATGGTGGAGACCAAAACTGAGCTAAAAAGAGGAAGAATTGTGCAAACCCATGCTAATGTGTCTCCAGTTTACTACCTATTTGCTAACATTAGCCTTATTATCTTGTAATTGAGGGGATAAAATGTCATGGTTTGTCTTACTTCTCTTACTTAAAGTGGCCCAACTAGTTAAGCATTCATTGTGGTTTGTTAAGTTAGGATTGCTACACAGGTAATGGGAGTAGACAGCCATGCCTCAGTGGCACTGACCACTGATGTACTGCTGCCTTTTGCTTTATATATCTGATCTGAGGGCTCATATGTTGGGAAATGCCAAAATAATACGGCCAAGTTCAAAACAAGGATATTTTTAGCTTTGGTGTGAGTTTTAACCCCCAGCGTCTATCACAAAAGATTTTTGAGGCACGAAAAACAACCCTGCAGACTTCAGATTTTACTGTAGCCTTTATAGATGAGCGCATATGCTACTTATACTTCCATGAGCGCATACATCTTCAGCATGGCTGGGCAGAGCAGTCAGAGTGTGACCAGTTATCCAATGTGACTGTGCTCTACATGGGCAGTGAAGCTCTGAGCTGAGCTTAGGAAGTAGCTGCAGCGTTACAGTGTGCAGCATCATCACAGCCTGACACGGATCAATGTCCTCACAGGGTGCCTTTGATAACACACAATATCAGGACTAAATAAAACATCAGCCACTTTGTACGAGTTTTCTCTGTGTTCTCACACACATGAACTGAGTAAATATGTCCACACGTGACAGACAAATGTGGGATTACTTTACTGCATATGCTTCTTTTTAGGAGACGGCAATTAGAAAACCACAGCTATTGTTGTTTCTGCTTTAAGTGAGAATGAGTGTTGAAAGCACCTCAATAAAAACAAGGCTTAACTGAAAGAGAAATAATTAAAAACAGCAACAAGGGCTTGCAAAATAATCATTCACTGAAATGTAAACTGCTCTTATCCACTTTTAGAAAAGACAGAAACAACTTTGGGGAAATACAAGGCTGCCTGCGGAGACATGTGCTCCATAAATCAATCTGAATATCGCCTGACACGACCAACCTTCAAAGTATCGTTATCTTTGGCGTTAATCTGGCGCGACTGAAGCTGCAGCATCCAACCGCACTTTATCAACAACTCTGTCGAGACTCTTCGCAGCCTCATCAACACATCGGCATCGGTCTGAGAGGTTTCCTGCCACATGTTATGTGCATACCACTGGGATACATATTTTGCATATCCACAATCCAAGAGTGGAGGAGAGAGCCAGGACTTTCCAAACCAGATGACAGAGGAAGGCAAGGAGGTGCTGCCATGTGACAAATTTGTAACACGATACGTTTGTTGTTTTGGGTTTTGGGATGGCTAACGCTTCGTTGCTGGGAGGGGAAGGGGAAAAGAAAAAAAAAGTGTTGTGCGTTCCACCCACTCCCTCTAAAAAATGTGCAGAGAAACTCCTCGGGGTCCGAGCCGTGGAACGTCAGACATGCATAACAAAAACAAGACGGCATGCTGCAACACAGGTGGGCTCGCCGCAGTTGTTGAGGAGGAGACAGATGTCTGCAGTTCTTTATTTAATCTGGATAACTCTGGCAACATCTTCCTCAGTTTGGCACACAGATGGTGTTGGTGACTCACTGCTTGGACACTCAGAATGGTTGTGAGTGGCCTAAAGAGGGCACTACAACAAGCACCCAGAGTCAAGTTCAGCCCTACAGCAACGTAGACAAGCGGCACTGTGTACAGGCATGTAGCTGTACATGATGTTCTGCCTCAAGGCCAAAATGTGGACAGGTTTGGGTAAAAAAAGTGATGTAGTTCTTCACCAATAGTGTACAATTTTAACAAGATCTGCAAACACTGATGTGATCTTCAACTTGATTGTCTGACGGGCTAAATTTCCCCTCTGACCAATCAAAGTACAACCAATCCCAGTTAACTGGTGATGAGCTTACCTGGATGCCAGTCTGGACAGCCATGACTGATCACAGATGGTTTACTTCTTCATTCTGTGGAAAAACCAGACAGACAAACAAATCATCAAAATGTCAGCCGGACCATCGTGTTACAGTTTGGAGAGTGTGAACAAAAAAGTTCAGGGAGCTGCATTGATGTTCCTGAAAACTGGCCATCAAGATGTACGTCGTATCAGATTATGGGTGAACCAGGTAGTTTTAAAGGAACAGTTCACCATTTTGGCTCTTGCAGAGAATAACATGAGAAAGTCATGAGTTTATGCATTAGATACAGAGCTATAGGGGAATAGTGTATCTCCAAAGACGGGAAGCAAACGGAACACATACATGCTGCAACTATTTCTTAGGAAACAACGGGTGTGACTGGTGGAGTCGTGTTGTCACCTTTGAGTTGTCAGACACCAGCAAAAATGCAGCACAAACGTGTCGACTGGATGGATAAGCTAAGAAATAGTTCCACCATGCCACTCGCTCTGAGACCACAAGGTTTCCTTCTGTTTGTGTACAGACTAAACAAACGGGACACTTGTTTATTTGTGAACACCACAGGTCCCGTCAGGCCGATTTTTAAACTTTAGAAAAGCCTTCAAGATTAGTGCTTTTCCCCTGCTTGCTAGGCCAAGCCATCACTCCTCACTCCAGCTTTATCCTCAACACACAGAAATGAGAGCGGTAGTGGAGAATGTCAAACTGTATATCTGACAGAAAACAATGACTATAAATGGCACATATCATTAAATGTCAAATCTCTGCAATATGAACAGTGCAAGGCTGTAACAAGATCATTAAAATGAAATAATTTGATTAGTTGCTTGGTTCATAAATAGTCAAAAGATTCTCAAAAAAAATCCCCATCACAGTTTCCCAGAAGCTGAAGTGATGCTTTTAAATATCTTTGTCTGCTTAACACTCTAAAAATATTCAGTTTGAAATGATATGGAGATAAAATACCAAAACCTTTAAATTAGAGGAGCAGAAACAAGGACATTTGATATTTTTGCTGACTCAAATGATTAAACATTTAGCCAAATAGCTGCAATTTTCATTTGATCACCTCATCATTTCTGTTCCAGCAAACACCCAGCTCAGGCTAGAAGACATTCAATAGGCATTTAGTGTCTGTAAATCAGACAATTCTCCACTGAAAACTCAAAGGCACTTTGTAGTCAATAATTAATTCACAATGTTGGTTATTTAATTAAAGCCAAAATTAAACTAATGTGAATTAAAACTTCTCAAATATAAACATCCTCCCATTTTTTGCTTTGTCATAACATCAAAGAAATCCTTATAAACATATGACAAAGAGCACAGACTCACTTTGTCCAGATCGGACATGGCATCTTTCATTTTTACTTTCATTTTGATTGTTGGTTAGACAAAAACTGCTTTTATTGAAGATAACCTGGGCTCTTAGAAATCCTGATTCTCTGACATTTCATTGATTAAATCAACAAAAGAATTGTCAGATTCGTCAAAACATGAGAGTAACTGAGGCCCAGTGTCAAACTCAATAATCTCAGTCCATTTCCCAGCCCTACACTGGAGACTTCTTGGCCATGAAAGAGACATGAGAAAAGCCTGTGAATGACCTGTGAGCTTAACTGGTTCCACACAGCGACTTCAAAGCTCCATTCAGCACATATCCTGATTATCCCATCAAGCCCATTCAGTCTTTTAAACCAATTTCAGGCAAGTTGCTCTTCTTTGTAAATACATCTTCATATCCTGCCTTAACAAAAAGCCTCAGCTGTCAGCACAGAAACTCATTGTCTTCATTCGCTTTATAATCAAATTTAAAAGACATCATTCCTCATTTTTTAGGCCGTATTAATGAATCAGCTGAAGGTTATTTAATGAGCAGCAAGGGAGGAACATAACAGCAGGCAGTTAAACAGGATACAAGCTGCAAACAGGCGCACAGGATGCTGTCTGGGTGAAAAGCTGCGAGGACCTTGTTGTTTTTACTGGACCCACAGTGAGTTTTACAGAATCAAACTTTCTCACGAGGAAGTGATTGGGTTAGTCTGAGTGCTGCTCTCTCCCCCTTTTCCCACACAGGATGTGAAGGATTACCCCGACCCTCCACTGTCCCCGAGGGTGTGTGTTTGACAAAGAGAGGCGGTGGGTGGGGGAGAAAGCAATCACAAGCATGTAGATCCTAATAACACTGATGATTTGGTCAACACAGCTGAGGCAATAGTCCTCCACCAACCCCCCACATTCTCCTCAGACACAAACATCAGCTCATATCACGCCAAAATTCGACAGCGAAATGGGTTTGTCAAACTTCTTCACCGCAGCAGGCATGTGTTCTGGTGTTTTCTACTGATGTCATCATGCTCAGAATGATGAAATTTACACGAGAAGCAGCAAAACTCCTTCAGCTTTTATCCAGAAATGCCTCCACAACTACAAACACTACAATGATTTCATCAGCTCATCAAAGGCCTGCCTGAGAGCGCAGTGTCCAGACACCCGACACCAGAACTGCAGCCCAGGAGAGAAGATGCAAGTCAGCGGCCAAGGGCAGGACGGGGCAGGACGGGACGGGGAGGATGACAACGCCAGAAGACTTACCCCAGAACGAAAACACTTGGGTAGCGAGGGAAGACAACTGCAGCGCACAACTCTGATCAGCATCGAAAGCACATCCTCGTCCACACTGAGCCCAAACCCGGCGCTACGCTCAGCGCTGTCCGGTCAGAGCAGCTCCTGCCTCTGTGGCTGCACGAGTGAGCGGCGAGGGAGAGGCAGCGAGAGGAAGACGAGGAGGGAGGGAGGGAGGGAGGATGGATGGGAGGAGGAGGAGGTGCAAAAGGAGAGCCCTGACTAATGAAGTGGCTACGCTTCGCTAAGCTCTGGCCACCCCCTTGCTTCCCCCCCAACAATCCTGTCACGGCGGGACCCTCTCACAAAGCACCCATTGTTTTGTTAGCTTGCCACCCTCCCCACCACACACACACACACACACACACAAACCAATACACTCCTCCTTGTCATCTCCAAGCCAGCAGCCAAACCTGGAACTCCCCAACCAGCAGGCTATGAAATGGAATGAGATGGAATAGACGAGGTGAGGTAAAGGGGGCTTACCTACAATTGCTTTTTACTCCCCCCACCCCCCTGGCTATTCCCACCACAGAACTACCCCCAACCTCCACCTCAAACCGGTGCTCAGCAGAAAGTTAGAGGAGGGATAACAGCGATTGTGGAGGTTGTCGCTCCGGTGTTTTTGGATGGCTTGATATCGAGCTGTAGGCGTCGAGAGAGAGGACACTTGCATCCATGTGGAAAGTGTTCCAATGATTCTGCCTTAGAGAGAACAAACTCCAAGAAAGCACAGAACACATGATGTCATGTGAGTGGATCAGATGTCCAGATGTTGCCTTTCCACAGCTGTTTCAAACTGCTTTGTTCTAATGACTACAGTGATGAAACAAGTCATGCTGACTTCCAGTATTATACATCCATCCCTCTGTCCTTGCACTTCTCCACATTTGGAATCTTTCTGTATGAGTTATCATCCCAGCATGCTCTGGTGATTCCTTGTGCTGCTGACATTGCAATGACATTTAGGATTAAGTGGATATGAAATACAATTGAAGAGGAAAAGTCACAGACAGACATGGAAAACCTTAAGACAAGTGAAGTCTTTTAAAGCATTGTCTGGAAATGTCCTCAAAGGCTCCAAAGCAGGACATCCAGAAAGAGTGAAAGAAGGCCGACAGTTAGGCTTTCAGAAGAGAGGGACAATTCAGAGTGCCTTTGCTTCTTTTCAGCATGCAGGCGTGCGTGAAGGGTCACACTCAACAACACGGGACAAAGGGCAAATCTCTCGCTCTGGACTCCAGTTGTGTGCATCTGGGGCCACGGCGGAGCCTGAGAGCGTGACTCCCCACAGGGACCAAAGTCACCCACACACAGTCAAATGTCAAGCACAGAGGAAGGCGGGAGAATCGAAGCCAAAAAAAAAAGAAAAAAAGGGGGAGGCGAAGACAAAACACGTTTTATTATGGTGGTGAACTTGGGAGTGGCGCTCTGGAAAGGGCAGGACTCGACACTGCGACACGAAGCACCACCACGCACATTCCCCCACGGTTGTTAGGAGGAAAACATCTGACAATGATGGTCTTATGTTGAAGCCACATCGAACTGTGCTTCCCTCTGATGAAAACCGGGTTTCCTGTAGCACCCCCTTAGGCTTAGGTTTGGCTCTGGTTAGTCACAGCAGTGATAACTGGCTGGGGGTGAGGCGGAGGTTGGGGTCGGGTTATGCAATCTTAGAAGACTAGTTAGGGTCAGTGATAAGGTTTGGTTTACATTTAGATAAGGACCACCACCATCTGTAAAGGGCCTGTCACTAAACAGGACTTCTGACAGTGTTCTGAGATTTCTTTGGGGCCAATTATGCAGCTGAGCCTCTTAGTGGCTCAACGTACTTTTACAACTTATAATGAAAAGGCTGTACTTTATATGAAGAATGTTATTTTTGGTATTTCTTGGGAATTTACAACTTCCCAAGAATCTCAGTTCTCCATTAACACTGCTCAAACATGAGCCTCAGGGGCATATGAGAGCCATTGCCACATTTCTAAAGACACATTTGGATTAACAGAGTGAATGAGGCTCAGAAACCTGGTACACAAAAGACCCCGGTCAGGTTGGGGTTGTCGAACCTGTACGTCTTGCTGTGAGGGAAGTAGCATCTTAAGTTTCCTTTGCAGATTGGACTCAGATCTTGTATTTAAATGCTATGTGTTTATATAGCTCACCAGCTTCAGAAAATGCTAAATAGAGATGTTTTTACTGATCTGATCCTAAAAAAAGGAACTAATTAAGACGACTTTCCCCACTAAGAGGCCTATGTTCTCCTTAGTGTTCAACACAGAAGCCACTTCCTTCTAGGAAAGCGGTGCCGAATAAATTAAAGGAACTGTTTTTGTTGGGGTAGAAGTGAGCGGTATAATAGACTTTGAGTCTATTAAAAGGACGGGGATCTAACCAAAGCTTTCCTGTAGCATGAACTAAACATAGATGCCGTCTGTGTGTGTGTGTGTGTTTTGTGGAGGGTGGGGGTGAGACATCTGTCCGCATGTTACCCACGCAGGTCGCCTCTCTCTAGTCGCAGCCAGTAATCATTTAAGAGGATCAGCGCTATTCCAGACAGCATCCACCTCTACGATGCTCCGTCACCACAACACACGGAGCACGTGGCGCACGCATGCATGCAGCCCGCGGCGGTCCGGCGGAATATGCGAGCACCCGTGCATAAGTGCAAAAAAGAAATGAGAACGCATTACGCAATGAGTTAAAAGTAGAATGTTCAGGCGGTGATGTCCTTTTGATTTTCCACTACATGGCATTGTGTGTGTCAGGGGAGTAAACACGGGTAAAAAATAAAACAAAAAAGTGGGCCATGTGAAGTTTTTAAGTCCTCCAGGGGTAGAAGTGAACCTAACGTTTTTGTCTGATCATTTAGTTCTTTGGACGTCGACACATTTAAAGTTTGTGTTCGAGCTGGCGTGTTCAGTGTTGTCTCTCCTCCAGCTTATTTGTATACATAACCAGTAGCTGTGAGCCTGGAGACTTCCACAAAGAAAAACATCACATGGGAGCTAATTTCTTAAAATGTATGTTGGCTACGCTGTTCACCACTCATCACCTCTTATGTCCCTTTCAGACATGAACCCCTTTCTATTAATCTGATGGCATCTGAATGCGACGGCTTCATGTTAAATGTGCAAACTGGTAATTTTTCTATAGAAGCTGCAACAGAAATCTTTCAGTCCTGATAGCAACGATTGATTGAAATCACAGTTTAAAACAATGCAATTAGCAAACCACAAAGGCTGCAAATTAGGACACGGTCTATGTTAGAATAGAATAAAAAAAAAAAATAGAATAAAACTTTGTATGGTCTAAAGTTGATGAAGCCCAGTTTGACTAACTGTTTTCCCCGTAGCTTTCCAAATGTCCACATTGAATGCTTTGCTGGGTGTACTCCAAAGATAAAATCCAACTGACACCAAGTTGCTGTTTAGATAGGATTCTTTAGTTCACAAAAAAAAAATGAAATTTACAAACGGAAAAACATAAAGCAAAACGAGGATACAAAAGTATGAGCAGTCAAAAAACTGTTTGGCTCCATGCCATCATTCATTTTCCCAGGATCCCTTGCAAATTTAAGGGACCCTAATATAGCGAACCAAAATATCAAAAACAAATCAATAAACCACACTAACACAGAATTCAAATATCCAAAAATATGATTAACAACATTTAACCAAACAACAGATAAATTTAGCAAAATAAAAATGTTAATCATAATCAATATCAAAGTTACTCTTGAACAAAAAATCAAAACCAAATAGAAATAATCGTGGTAAAATAAGAACCAAATCCAGAATCAAAGAAATAGATTTAGGCTCCTACAAACTTTATTGATCCCTTCGGTACAAGACCTCAGGGAAATTGCTAAGTGTTATGTAGCACATCTGATCCTGGGTGTAAGGATGAATAATATTCATGTAAAACTGACCTTTGTCAGAATGTCGTCACAAACCAAAGAAGATTTTCAGGGTTTCATATGAGAAAAACCTAAAGAACCAGTCCTGTAAAGCTGCAGGGTGGAGCTTTCAGTTTTATTCTTCTTCTTAAGAACTGGATTCCAGTTTGAACAAGTATAGCTGAAGCTGAATTACTCCAACATTACAGCTTGCCATTGTGTAATGCAGAGTAGATTTACAGTATTTGAGCATCGTCACAGGTGAGCTGGTGTGCTTGAGTTACAGCAAGTAGCAGAAGACAGTAATGGAGCCTTAACAGACCTGCACTGGTGAAGCGTTACATCTAAGACATTTCAGGGCAGAGTTTAATTGGAAAAACTTAAATATGCAACTTTAATACACAGAGATGACTTTCAGGGCTTTAATAAATGAACAGAGAGCGACTTTAAAAAGGTCAGTATGCTTCATTAGGATTGCCATTTACACAAGCATCTGAAACCTATTCTTCAGAAATGGGGCTGTTTTCAGACAGTTCTGTCCATTTCTGATGCAGACAATTTAGCATGCTCATTTGGCACAATAACTGACCAGATGTGCATGAAAAAACAGATTTTAAAATGATCTCTCAGGCTGGTTTGTTTCTGGCCTTCAGCATCATGCGTGGTGCATCTGAAGCCTCTCACTGAGGATTCTAGTGGACATTACACTATCTGATAGGTTTGGATGTGAAAGTGATGCTCTATTTTCAGGCGTTTAATGTGATAACTTGAGCAGACAGAATAATGCGTGAGTGATATCATTGTGAGCATGTCTGTGTCCTTTAGCCACAGTGTGAAGTGGCTGTGGGCCAGAGAACCTCCTGCGTCCTTCCCCTTCCCCGCAGTCCAAAGAGGTTCTGCTGGACCAAACTAACCCCCGGAGAATACTAACTCCTCCTCTATTAAACTCCTTCCTGCTGAGCCCTTTGTGTCTGGACTTAATTACCCTGTCGCAGGAGCGTTTGATTTAGAGACCAGCTTAGCCCTTTTCATTACAGATGGGGCCCGGACGCTCTGCGCAGAGAAAAGAAATTCATTCAGTTGAGAAGAATTTAAAAAGTAAATATACGTCAACGGTCCGCTGTCGAATTGAACCCCACATATTCAATGAAACTTTACTTTCTAAAGACATTCAGTCCCCCTGGGCCTGTGCAAGCTTGCACACCATGGATCTCCAGAGTAAAAGACTATGGTCCCCCTTTCAAGCAG